TTTGCTTCATCATGTGGCCTCTTGGTAATTTCTTTGATATATTGACAGAATATGCACAACTTCCAACTAGGAAAAACTAGACGCTTGTAAAGCGTGATGCGGGCTAGCTTAGCAAAAGATTCACAATACAAGATAAAAATTGTATCTCCAATGAATATTGTGACTATGACGTAACTATATATGAAAGTAAAATATGCCGATGAATACCTTAGTTTTCTTTGCAGTTCAATTCTTATCGTTAACCTTCACTGTCTGCTATAATCTTATCATAAGCTATATCAACTATCAACCATAATCTTTTTGCTATAGTGGGATTTGCAATGTATTTTGTAAAAATATTTATGGAAGCTCTTTACTTCTTGGTTAGCGATATCACATCTATTATTATTTACATAACAATGCATTTTAGATGGCATGAGTGCATTCTTTAAATTTTGTTTTTATTAGCCTTTCTTTCGTACAAAAGAAATCTAAAAATTGAAGCAAAACAAAGCTCAATTTCAAAACTTGTACTTTGTCATTTTTAACTAATAAAAAAACCCGATGATATTAAAGCAATTTCTTTGAATTTAAACAATAAAAACATTGTCAATTAAACAGAAGAATACCTTTTGCTGTCTATAAATGTGGTAAAAAAGCCAGTATTTGAGCTGATTTCATTTTGAAGCTGTACTGAATAATCATCGAGCTGGACTGGTGAGGAAGGCGAGACTATTTTCGATGCAAAATCGTCTTAAAATGATAACTAGCAAGCTTGAAACTTCACAAATGCAAAATCCTAGTTCAATTCTTCAATGAGAAAGCTTTTGGTATTTCTTGTTGATAGTTTTTGAGTACTTTTTTCTCTGTTATCGGCGAAGTACCCGCCATTTTGGATTCTTGTAGCCTGCGTGCAGCCGAACCAAAACAACAAGTTTTGGTTCGGCTGCACGCAGGCTAGATTCTTGAGAAAATTTTCAGTTCGAGAGAGACTGCAAACTAATAGATATGGCTTCCTGTGGTTCGAGAGAGACTAGAAACTTCGACCCGACAGAGTGCGAAGGTAAAACTATAGCTGGCTAGCACAGCTAGCCCGCTAATGAAGCTAAAATGAATTTGAAAATTTTACTTAGAGCTCTAAATCATTATTTTTTCCATTGATGCACAGGAAGCAGTTTATCCCTCAACATTAACTTATGGTTCTCAATTGTTAAAGTGATTTCCAAGAATATGGCTCAATTTTCCTCTATTTTTCCCTTCTTTTTTTCAAATAGTCAGTTTTCTAGTTGTAATCCCTTATAACTCATCTGATTTTCTATTGGTCCATTTTGTGTATCACAGTCAAAAAAACATGTCGAAATAAGTTATTCAATTACTTCAATTAATAATCCTGATTAATTAGCTGAAATTTCTCTCGACCATTGTGAAAATATCCATATACGGCAGAAGCAAAAATTAAGTGACCAAATTATTTTGGTATAATTATTCTTATTCAAATTAACGACAAACGTGGAAGGAGGAAGGATATGTAAACTCAAGCTCATTCCATATGACCCAAGCTGGAAAGACTATCGCTTAGTTCACGTACAATCGATACGTCGTACAAAGATTATTATCCGAAATCTCAGGTATAAAGTCAACGTTTGAAAATGAAAGTTGCACTAGTAGACTGTGCGGGCAGATAGTGCCCCCTCCACCTTTCCCCTCTTCAAAACTTTCTGGATCCGTCACTGTTCTACATATTATATACGTACCAGGCTTGAATTTGTACCAGGTGATTTTGCTACTGTTGTCTCGAGCTTTAGCACACCAACCAACTGCATGATCCTTTCCATTGCTGCACAGAAGTAGTGGGCCATCAACCAACTTGTCAAACAATTCATCTCTTAACTTTAGTCTATTGTTGTCGCTCAAAAAAGTGATTACATTAAACTTGACTAAACGTTTCTCAGTTATCATTAATCCCTTATAGTTTTCTTGACAATCAATTTGCTGTTGATCGCACTTGATATTTTTACTGTAATCATTTAAAAACGTACGAAATTTGCTTCGTGTGCATCTTAGCGTGAACTTGCCCACGATTAAAGGCAAGAATATGTGATAGCCTATGTCGACAAGAATGCCTTTAGCTGCATTCTGATCTATTGTATAAGATTTGTCGCTTGTTGGCTTTGTAAAACGATAGACATTTATTTTACATTTAACTAAAGAATCCTTCCAACTTTCAGGTAGATCAATTGAGCAAAAGTATATGAAAAATTTAGCGTTCTTGGTGTCGGTATTCAAAAAATTCTTGAAATCTTCATTGTGAAGAGAACTGATAATCAAGSCAGTACATGTGTACTTGGTCTTCTTCTTTTCATTATCCTTAAGTGTGAGAGTGACAGTGGCTGTTCCTTCAGTACCATCAGGTTCAGGTGGTGGTGATACAATGCCTTTTGACATGATGGCAATCTGAAATATAGAGACCCTAAGAATATATAAATACTACAACTTGCTGGTGCACATAAGTCATGATTTACAAGGCCGCGGTGCATAATGAGAGCACGAGAATACACTCAAACCAGGGTACGGTAGCCCTGAGGTGAAGTCCACCTTTTTAGCGACTTCTCTTTCCCCTGAGTGTGTAAAATTGTGTCAGTGCAGCCGAACCAAAACTGTTTTTACATAACAACAGTTTGGTTCTTCGAACACCACTTTTTCAAAACGCTTTTATTGATTTTGAATTTAATTGGACTGTTCAAGTTGTTCTTTCCCAAGATTTGTTGCTAGGTCACGTAGTTCGTTCACTTAACGAAGTATAATATCAAGAATCGAAGAATATTTCACGCTTTGTTAGGTTGCTTTGCAGACTATTAATATTCATGAATGCTCGAAAAAATTAAGCGAAATCATAAGCACGCTAACGCTTGGAACACTGCACAAGAAATTCTTCGGGTGGCATCGTGTTCGATATTTTTCATCTTAGTGTTCTCTAACTAGCAATAGACAATTTATGTTTTGCAAAAAAAATTAATTGCTGACTATACCAGGTAGTAGTTGACAATTTGTTGACACTGTGATCGTGATGGCCGCAGCTCCGCAATGGATTGGCAAATAATTATTCTAAATAGTCATTGAATAGTACGAGTCAAGAATAACGAATAAGTAGAGTAAGTATTCCATGTAACAGATGTAACATTAAACCAAAACATAGCTACTAACTATGATCAAAATCAATTGAACCAAACATCAGAGAATCCATGATGTCGATTCTAAGAACTTCGGTATTGCACTATTATTAATAAGCTACGTAACACATTGGAAGTCTTTTAATCTTACCTTTTTGGACAATAATAATCAAAAAATTTGAAGTGAAATAAAAAGCAAATATCAGCTAACATGAATATTAAGTTTCATTTACCTTGAATGCAATCGAAGTTAGTTATTAAGAYATGTTTGCTACTTCCGCCCACCTTGGCTACGGCTAACTATGGCAAACTATGTCAAGAATGTCCMAACAGCGCGACCCTGGACACCACGTACCACAGGGAACCCACAACATCATTCTCCCAACACATCTAATATTCTTTATAAAATTCTTACATTTTCATTGAAAATATTTCTAATGATAGACTGTTCTATATCAAGCGTATAGTTTACAGMATAAGTGGCTGTATAACATCTTATAAAACTTATAAAACTCAATATACACTACATTCTCGTAAACAAATAGTAATAACTTCATATTGTAGGACGTCAAAATAATTTCAACTTTTACTCCTCCTTTGACACACAGAAAACACAATGTTTGAGGAAAACTAGTTTCGTCTATTCGACCTTATCAATTCCTCTACAACTGTTGTACACGATAAGCGCGCTACAATATGAAGTTTAGAAACTCCTTTAAGGTTCAAGTCCGACAAATTTCAAGAAATAGTAATAATTATTGCTAAATAGTTAACAATTACACCATAAGGTTGAGTCAAAATACCAGATTTGACGGTCAGTGAAGTGACCAAGCACAGCTGATTCAATCAGCTAAATAAGGGTTCGACACGGAATGCGAAGCGATCATTTTAAATTATTATTAAGGATTAACATCCGAAACGTCAGTAAGTTTTTCCACATACTTTTTTACGGTGTTAAATTTATCTTTTTACATAACTGTTTCTTTAGAAACACCGACGCAGCTCACACTAGTTTACCGCTAGTTCCCACCATTTTAAATTATGACATAATGCACTACGGTCAACTTCAAGTGATATATTTTCGCTTAGGTCCCGTCCAAATGAATCCAGAGATTTATTTTTGTTTTTTTTTTGTTGTTTTTTTTTTTCATTCCGATTCACAAATAGAAGAAGCGAATCCGCATACGGATATCTCATCCGGGAGGGGGGGACTCCCCAATATCAAAGGGCGGGGATCCTCGGCGTCCCTTTTAGGGTTTGAAATCGGTATTTTGGTCCCGCTTTAAAGGGTGATAATGACGAGAATTCCCACCAACTGAGTTTTGTGGCCCTTTTTAAGGTATATGACGTCCCTAAGCCGTCAATATGAGATCAAAAACCACAGCTTCTAATTAGATGATTGATTTTATTTTAATCAATTTCACGTCTTGTCACTTAACACTCCTTAATTGGTCCCTTTTAGGGGTGAAATTTCAGCACTGTCACGCCCATCATCTCCAAATACAGGTCCCTCTTAGGGGTCATTTTCATAATTTCCGCCGAGGACATTTCCTCCATACGCATTACATGCTTTGATGCCATCGTATACAGAAATTTTACCTGGGAGATCGAACGTATGCAGAATTGTCCCGAGACACTGCCGACACACGAACCGTATACAGTAAACACGTTTGGACGCTGTATCCGAAAACATTTACGAACACAAAAGCACGTGACACGTGTGGACATGATGCCCTGAATCACTTGCTTTTTTTTTGCCTATTGAAATTTAGTAAAAATCTCAAAACACATGAAATGAATTTGAATTATTCTACAGTAGTATAGTTTATATATGAGCTATGAAACTACTAAACTACAAAAGACAAAAAACTGTAAAAAGTTCCTGAAATAAACTACCTATACAGGCTTCAATAATAATCAGCACAATGCAATCTTAAAACACGTGAAAAGGCTTATAGTCTTTGAATTCATTAGAGTAGGCGTAAGTGTAACAAATACTACTAATTATGAAGTGTTCATTAGACAGTAGGAAGATATTGGCTCAATTTAGCACCTCCGTTTTGCATCTGCTTCAATGACAGCCAAAAGTGTAAGATATGAAATGGTTGCAGAACTATCTTCACAGTTTTTGTAGAATTGCTCCAAGTGTTTTGCTAGGGTTTCCGAGGCATCATTTCTCTTTAATTGACAGCAGATAACGGAGATTTCATACGCAGTGAAGTCTGGACGTCGCATCATTAGCCAGTCAAACAAGATTGTGGTTGGACTTGCTTTAGTATCCGGTATGTAGTAGTAGTATGTTGTATCTTCTATCTCCCATAATGCTGCCAGGTGTTGCCAGCCTTTACAGTTGCTCTTGTTTAGGAGTTTGCAGAGCTCTTCCATTTGTTCTGTATTTGGTTTGAATTCGTCTTTCAAAGTTGATGTTAAGTATTTATCTGGTGATAAAAAGTTCCAATTAAGTCTTGTCTTTCGCAGCTATTAGCATTTATAATGCCTGTTTCAATGCCGACCTTATCTTACATGTGTCGAAGTCAGTAAAAACGAGCCGATAATGAGCATAGAAACAGAACTGTCGGTTTTACAAGATTTACAATAGGTTCGCTACATACACATATATTTCAAAAATCGTTATCGGGTAGAACGGCGAGCGGCGATTGTCGAAGGGAGATTGCACGACCGAAAGGGACTATGGTTACGCTGTTTGACAAACAAAAATTCAATTGTTGGGTTTCTTGCCTGAAAATGGAGACTACATGGAGCCAATGATGACCATGCATAGACTATCTTACCGTAGCAATCAGTTATTATTTCCCATCTATTAGCAAAACCCATGGCTCCTTTCGGTCGTGCAATCGCCATTTTATCCGACAGCCTTTTTTGAAATAGCTAAATACGATTGAACGTTCGGTTTAACGGCCACCATCTTGAAATATATAATACTAGAGAAGATTTATTTACCTTTGTTTATGTGAAATCTTTTAAAAAGCTTCAAAGTCTCGTCCTTTCTTCCAAGAGAAGTCATGTCGTCTATGATATGCACCGAGCTCTTGGCTTTAAAAAAACTCTGCGCTTCTTCTTTTTATGTTGCTTCTTTTTAATAGGTAAATCAGCGTTTTTCAGTCAGTTTTTTGAGTCACACTGCAGTTTAAGAGCTACATACAAACAGAACTATACCAAGTCGGTGATTAAAGAACTCTACGTGTCAATCAATACTTTAATGCTGAACAAAACTTACATCAGTACAAACTACATTCAATGTAAAAATAGCGCCGTACACGAAGACTTTTTCGTTCAACTGCTTCGCATCATTAGTGATGTGTATACTTAGAGCATTTTGACATTTTCGTATATGGTTTGCGCGTCTTTATCTTATATCATCTTTATATTCTAGCTAAAGCTATTTTAACATTTGATATTAAAATATTCGCGTGACGTCGTCTAACGCATTCACCGTGTAAAAATAAGACCTATTGTTCAGGTGTCATCCAAAATATGCGTTTTGCATTGAAACCTCCAAGTACAGCGACGTATATCCTGAGGATTCTTTACCGGTTTGTAGATCAGTTGATCATATGGACACTAAAAAATCACACTAACAGTATGTTGAACTCTTAGTTTCAGTTTTGTATAATCTTCTCCAATTCATCTTTAATATCATATCTCTTCATCTTTTCGTCTAGTATATTCAGAAAGACTTCCACTGAGACATGACTATTGATACACATCCAATCCAACAAAGTGCCGGTGGGGCTTGGTCTAGATGGTGGGTCAAAAGTGTCGTAGACACTGTAGTCTAATTCCCACTCTCTCGCTAAAGTCCTCCAGTTTTTTATGCCTCCTGTACTTTTATTCAAAAGATAAGTCACTTCTCTCATTTCTTTGCTGTCAGGTTGAATGATGCTTATTAAGGGACGAGAATCTGTATGCAGAAAAAAAGATTAGCTGGTAAAACGAGCAGTCACTTTTTTCATTTCTTAGCTGTGATTTGGATTGATGTCAGCTAAGCTGAGACGATCTGCACAGCGAAAAAATATTTTATGTTTAGTTCCCGGGGCGGGGTACTACATCCCCAACTTGGGTGGGAGTGTGCCGCACGACTCTCAAAACCCTTACCCTATCCCAGACCAATTTTTTTGATTTTACATACCCTACCCAAGACTTAAGGTACAAAGGTACATTATTTTAGCGCTGAAAGCGTGGCCTAGCAGATACGATCACAGGCAAAACTCCACCCTACCCCAGACAATGAGACTATACCCTATCCTAGACAAAAAACTACCCTATCCCAGACAAAACTACTACCCTAACCCAGACAAATGGGCAAAAAAATGATACCCTATCCCAGACTTGAAGCTCCGAAAAAAGGACCCTATCCTGCGGCACATACCCGTATACGGCAAATAAAACCCCCGGGGGTTTAGATAGAGAACAAGAGACTTCCATTTAGTAAATATACATATACTACATGAAACACACAACCGCTGGTTGACCAAAAAGGATTTAGATCTCCATTTGCTCAATCGATATTTTCAAATCAAACGAACAGTGTGGATGTATTGTTTGACCTATTGTACAATCTGCATGTACAGCCTTTTGCAAAAATTATGAGAATTGTCTAAATATCTAAATATCATAATATCCATATCCATATATTGTCCGGAACACGCGGGTTTGCTAGAATAATTCATTGTTTACATCGAGAAAATGTTCAGAACTACTGATAAGTCTGTCGCCAAAAAAACTAAACAACAAAGACAAGGGACTAAGGCCATCGCGCGGGATCATGCACTTGATATTATGATATTTAGATATTTCAACAATTCTCATAATTTTTGCAAATGGCTGTACATGGGTATAAAATTATATATATATACATGTATAGGTGTCTGTAATTGTAATCATGTATACAATCCAGCTGTACTTGGCTCGCGTAATTCAGTACTTGAGCTGAATTTACGGTTATATGAGGTACTCCGACTTTATATGGAGTTTCTATGAAAATATCGATTCTTATAATAGTAATAATGACGGATTACCATTGTTGTTCTCGATTCTCAAATCTGTTACAAACGTTTTCAAGTCAGGTCTATTGTCAAATCCCATGATAATTCTTCGAAACTCTCCTGCAGACTTCTTTTCTGGTGGGAGCGTCCTGTAGACGTGCTGTAACAATTGCTCAGCTGGATTGTTTCCTCTCTCAATCAAATCAAGTTCATCATTTTTGATCCCAAGTAGGCGTGCGAAGTACTTCCAATTCTTTGTAACCCTCGTTTTAGGCAAATCAAGTTTAATTGCAATTTTATCCATCAAGTCAACTTTGTCAAGCAAAACATCTTCAATACTTTTCGACCTGTCAGCTATAAAGTGCATTTCTCAAAGTTAGATACTGAGAATTGGGTAAAGATGAAATTCCACAAGCTTTACATTCTTCTCAGTGCAATCCTGTTTAAAGAAGTAGTTTCAAAACCTTACCTTCAGGAATCCCGTTACTCAATTGAAGGTGAACATCACATCTTCGATTCAAGCCATTTCCATTTAGTTTGTCCATAAGCTCTTGAACTGGTTTTATGCATATATCGGGTCTCCCCAGAACTTCCAAAGTTGGACTGTGGATTGTACCACTTTCACAAGCTTCTTTCACTTCTTGAGGAACTGCAGGATCTTTCAGTTGATCGGCAAGGTGTCTCCAGTTACTTAACAATTTGTAGTCGTAATCAAGACCATTTTTTAGGCAGTCTTTAACTGTTGAGTTTGTTTGGATTAGATCTTTCATTAGAGCTGAAAAAAGGAAACATTTTGAACAAGATATCCACAACTAAACCATCGACGGTTCTTTCTGGTTGCTCTATATACTGTAGATAAATAATTTGCTTTCATAGATGATTATGGTGAGCTCACAAGATAGAACAGAAGATAAAATCCGTTCTGCGCGCGTCCATGTAATATTTATCGTATTCGCAAAGTGTAATGAACTCAATACACCGATTGCATATATGAAAACCGATGATAAAAATGAACTTAGAAATTGCACTAGTCGTTACGCTTACTTAAAGGTTCTTGTATGGGCTGACCGGCTATAGATGCTCCTTGTGGGGCTGGCTGACTGGTACTGGATGCTCCTTCAGGGGCTGGCTGACTGGTACTCGGTGCTCCTTCAGGGGCTGGCTGACTGGTACT